CAAGCAAGCAAGCAAACAAACAAAACACACACACAAACAAAAAGCAAGCATATAAACAGATAAGCGAATAAATGGCCATACATATATCTGTACTTATGTATACATGATCTAGGGTTTAGGAAGTCTGGTAGCTCTCAAGGCGATGGGCGGCTCCATGAGTCTGACCGGAGAACCCGACGGTGCGCCGATGAAGACGGGGCTGTCTCTTTTCGACTTGACGGCAGGTCTGCATGGTGCCAGAGCCTCAGTTCTCCCATTAGGGGATTCTAGGGTCCTTTAAGGGTATATATATATATATATATATTTATAGGGTATATAGTAGGTATATTAGGGTCCCAGGTTTCTCCCACTTGGAGGATCATGGGACTTAGTAACTAGGGTTATATTTAAGGTAGCTATACTTATAATTACTTATAACCCCAATTAAGGTACTTATAACCCTACTTACTAAGTCCCATGATCCTCCAAGCAGGATTTTTTTTGAAGCTTCTGGGAGCCCAGAAAAGTGCACTTTGCAGGTCATTGGGATTCTGGCCGCCTTGCACAACAAGCACGTGACCGGATTGGGTCAGCACGTGGACATCTCAATGCTGGATGTGGCAGTGGCGCTCCTTGCGAACCAGGGAATGAACTACTTGGCCAAGAAGCAGCGGCAGAAGCGGGTGGGCAACAATCACCCGAATGTGGTGCCTTACCAGGTCATGCCAGCCAAGGATGGTTGCTCGCATTTTTCTGTTTCGCAGTTGTGTTCCCTTTCGTGTTCTGCCTTTCGTCGTCCGTTGTCCAGCTTTGATAGCGGTGGTTTGCAGAGCGGTGTGCTGAGTGTGCTGAGGCTATTTCATCCTGACGGCATCCAACAACGATCAGTTCGAGCGCTTCTGCAAGGTTGCTGGCCGAGAGGAACTCATGAAGGACGAGAGGTTCAACACCATGAAGGCCCGCGTCGTTCACAGGGATGTTGTCACGCCGACTCTGAACGAGATCACTTCGCAGCACGAGAAGCTTTGGTGGCTGGAGAAGTTGGAGAAGGAGATGGTCGGCTGTGCTCCCATCCTTCACCTTGATGAAGTTTTCGCCGACCCTCATGCCTCTTGCCTGCGATACCGACACTCACACACACGCATGCACACCCACTGGACAGTGAGTCAAAAGCTGCAGCAGTCTAGCAAACCACCGTGCAAGCACACCCTGGCTGAAGCTGCACTGCTTCACTCCAGTAGCCATTTGGGCTCATTCTAGGACACCCTACAGTGTCTGAGTGGGGACTGTTGTGGTAAATGCCACGAACTGTCCGATCAGCTCCAACAAGCATTTACCGCTGCAAGATGTGATGCTCCCGTGCTTGACGCTCTGGGCGTTTTTGTGAATAAATTATCAGCTTACAGAGCCAGCGTTGTCAAAGACATGGACAAGGCAGAATGCATCCAAATCCGAATGCCACCGATGATCAGGATGATGCTGATGATGATCATGATAATCATGATAAACTGTTCTGAAACTTCTAAGACAAGAGGACATACGTGCGGCAGCGCAGAGCACAACGCGGCCGAACGCACAGCAGCCAGAAAGGCATGGGAGGTTCAATTTCTCAGACTTCCGTCTCAGGTTCAGTCGCGAGACATGGAAATTCAGATGAACCTCCCCGGCTTCAGTGATTCGGTCTCGCTCATCGGCTCGCCGATGAAGTTCTCCCGCACAAAGGCGGCCCGATGTTTTTTGGGGGCTTCTGGGACACAGGGCCAGATTCTGCGAGAGTTCCGTCCACAGGTGGACTACCGCCTTCCTCCCCCTCGCGTTGGTGAGCACACAGAACAGGTTCTGCTTGACTCAGGCGGATCATGGGGCGTTTTCTGCGCATTGGGCAATTTTAGCGGACGCATCAGAGAGTCATCAGCACTCCGCTCCTTTAGGCTTCTTGAGGAGTTTCTGTCCTTCTTGGCAGGCATGTCCATGGACAGGATTGAAGATTTGCATGAGATCGGTGCCATCGACAATGCCAAGTTTGATGTTCCGGGCGTCGCATCCCAAGCTAATTCTGGATGTGCCCTGCAATCGTACTCACAGGAAGTTACAGCGAGTGCTTGTATCGTGTTCACTAAGCTCGGATGGAAATCATCTGCCCACCACATCAGGTCGTCCGGCCCCTTGCCAAGAAGAAGCGCAGGGTTGTGGAGGTCAGTGACAGCCACCCTGCCTACCAGTTCACAGGCCGAACTGAGCACCTGTACGCGTAACCTGGGGACTTGCTCACTTGTCCTTGTAGGAAGCACGTGGGGCCACATCAGTTCGGTGTTCAGCCCCTAGTTCTTCTGAGAGCTTGCCTTCTTGCGCTCACCAGCAAAAGTTGTGGCAGCAACATGGGAGCATGAGGTCAGACCCTAGTGTGTTGCCAAAGTCGGAGAGCGCAACTTGGAAAGCATTCTGGAGCATGCTGCGTAATACGGCATGCAGGCTTCCCATGCTAGCATACTTGGTTCAAGGTCGAGGATGAAGATCTCACCGAGTTAGACACCTTTGGTGGTGTGCTTCGAAGCAGCATTGATGATCCGGTGCAAGCATTCCTCAAGGCCGGGGAGGCTAAGCGAAGAGGGTTCTGGGCCAGGCTCGAGGCTCGAGGGCTTCGGGCATGCGAGGTGCGAGGGAGCGCTGAGGATCCGGACCTCATGCCGCCCAGGCCCCAGGCTTTTTCATCGCCTCTGCCTTTTCACCTTCAGTATAGTAGTATAGTGTACTGTAATATACTGTAATATTATATTCTTGTACTAGATATCATGGTGTTCGCGTAGTAATTAGCACCCATAGAAAGCAAAGAAAGCTCACGCGCACGCTCCGAGACGCAAGTGAGCTGAGCAGCGGCTTGGAGGGCCGCTGGGCGGCCGGGTCCTCGTCATGTCCTTCTTGTCTTTCTGAAAGCCCCTCTTTCCAGACGTTCCAGCCGATGGACGCCAGGCCAACACGAGTCCTTTTGAAGATGCTTTGCCTATCTGCTCGTACCAGCTGGGGCCGCCGAAGAAACGCTTAATTACGTAGCCAGCCGCAGCAGCGCTGCAGCTCGGGCTCCTGTCCAGGGCAACCACGCTGGGTTTGCTTGCCTCAAGCCCAGCGAGTTCTAGTGGAATTTCTCCCCAAAATGCACTAGATTTTCCAAGAAGGCAGGATGGTCACCGCCAAACAGTGGTCGGCTACCGAGCAGCGCAAGAGCCGCAATGAGGTTCTTTGCTGCCCTTGTTTCAAAGCAACAGGCAGCAGCCTCTACCCGCCAAAGAAAAGGGTGTCAAAGCACTGCCGGCAGTCCTGAATTGGCAATTGGGCAAGGGGTGCTCGAGATGCTGCCCGGGCCCTGCCTTTGTTGCCGATGCATTCTACGGATATTTGCAGGACTTCATACTTGGAAGCACGACAAGAAGCTCGGGCATTTGAGTTTCAAAGTCCCTCTGGCATGACTTCATCCATCTGCCATGTCTCTAAATCCTGCCGATCTTGGCTGGCGAGTCGCATGGCTTTATAGCATGTCTTCTGCACGTGCTTAGAGCAGAGGTAGCATCTGGATCTCTGATGGCAGGCTGCAACATCCTCCTTGCAACCAACTGTTCCTGTCGCCGGGGTTGGATTCCGCAGCTGTTGCAGAAGGACCCCGGTGATGCTTGAGTTGGAGTGCTCATAGTGATGATCGGCTGAGGAGAACATAGAGCTGCGGCAGGTGGTGGTGGACGAATGCGGCACATCGCCCGAGCCAGAGGCGATGCACCAAGGAGAAACTGCTGCGGGAGATTCTTTCCAGACCTCGCCAGACTCTCTGCCCCTTGACTTTGAGCAAAGCTGTGCAGAGAGTTGCCACGAGCTCAGAGGAAGTGAGCCTGTCTAGTTTTGCTGCATGCATTGACATTGGGAGAAAGGTTCTCGTGGGTGACTATCGACAGCTGCGCCCAGTCGTGAAGAATCGTGATGCCGGCAGTTTGGGCTGGCATCTTAGCTCTTGAACTTTCGACAGACATTGCTCCATTGTGCTCCCTTCTGCCTCGCCTCAGCGGCTGCTGGACCCTGAACCTCAATAGTATGCCCTAGCTCGCGACAAAGAAACCTGCAGGTCCTTGACGGTAGTGCCCCCCTGAAAATGACATCCTCTATGCCCTAAACCTTCTGTCCAACGCGCCGGCATTCCTATCAGTATCTTCACCTCATATATAGTATCCAATATCGCACCCAAACCGACGGCCTCTATCGTTAGGGTTTAGAGTCCCTCAACTCTACACCCTGACCCTAGCGGCTCTGTTCACATTTCCATAGGCCTGGCCTGCTCCCTCTTCGAACGCCTTTCTACCGGAGCCGGTGAGCTTGAGGCAACGAGTCGCAATAGGGAGAACCATCATACTTGGAGGATCATGGGACTTAGTAAGTAGGGTTATAAGTACCTTAATTGGGGTTATAAGTAATTATCAGTATATTTACCTTAATTATTAACCCTAGTTACTAAGTCCCATGATCCTCCAAGTAGGATTCGATGCAAGTGTGCAGTTGCAGTGCTGTAGCGAAATCGCGACCTGCCTTCACTACCACGGCCACTACCACATGCCAGAAAGCAGGAAGCAAGGAAGCAAGGAGGGAGGAAGCAAGGAAGGAAATCAAGGAAGGAAAGAACGTACACGAGAACGAACGAAGGAAGGAGGAATGAAGAAGCGAAGGAAGGTAGTCATGACACATCTGGTGGCAACCATCGCAAGGCTTGCATCCATGATGTGTGCATGTTTTTAAATATTGTAGCTTCAGATTTGAGCTGCACCGTCGTAGGATCGAATTGCTTCGGCTGTCACGCGTTTGCTTCAGGGCTTGCGGTCTTTTGGGGTTTAAGGCATCCGATCGTCGCCAGACCTCCATAAAATTGCACTGGACCTATGTTACCTGATCCCATTCGCTCCCCATAAAAATCTTGTGGCCAGTTTTTCTGTGCCTACCTGGAAGGACCGTGACGCAGCGTCCAAGCGCTTGCCGGATGTGTCTGACCTCCAGGACACAGAGTCGTAAAACTAACAACGGCACGGAGCTGGTTACCACACTGCGCTCAAACTGCTGCCACTGCTACTACTATTGCTACCGCGCTGCCACTACTGCTACTGCTGTTGCTGCGGCTACTGCTACTACTACTACTACTACTACTACTACTACTACTATGATTCTTCTTCTGCTGCTGCCCTAGCCACAAATACTATAACTTATAACCGTAACCGTAACAAGGGTGAACGCGCAACAAGTGCACAGTGATGATAAAAGCAGTAAGCAGATTTAGATTTTGTGATCTTCACTGCTTCGGTTCGAGACATCTGAGAAGGACCTGCCACCTGACAGGGCGCAATTGGTGTTCCAGGCCTTGCGACAGCGAGTTGAAAACATGCGATGCACACCCCGTCAGCTTGCAACGAAAGGCATCCGCATTACCTTTCGATCGCGTCTTTTGCAGAGATGCAAGACTCTGCTAGACGTCCAGACAGTGGTCGTTGCTTAGAGTGCCGGGAGGCTTTCTGCGCTCTTCGAGGCCCTGATGTCGAGCTACTTCATATGGGTGGTTGTCAAAATTATGGTCCCTTTTTGGGTCCTTATTATAATACGGCACCTAGTACCCAAAAGGGACCATAATTTTGACCACTACCCATATCGGTTTGTTTGCAGGAGGGTAGATGTGAGCCCTTCGACATGCAAAGCTCAACCCTAAACCCTAAACCCTAAACCCTAAACCCTAAACTCGCGAAAGCTTTCAGGCTCCTCCTCGAGCAGCCTTCAAGCTGAGGCCCCGGGCCGAAGCCGTGCAAAAGAGTTGTAGTGATTGTAGGGCTTTTAGGGTTTAGGGTTTAGGGTTTAGGGTTTAGGGAAATGTCTTGGTGTCTTGCGCCCCAAGCCTGCGCTAAGCTTGCAAGACAGAACACGCATGTACGGGTCAGCAAGAACAAAATGCCGATCGGAGATCGGGATGCAATTGTGCTCATTTCTAATCGTTTATGTCGGTTCAAATTGGTCTATAACCTCTCAGAAATTTATGCTCGCGATTGCCATGAAATACATTCGGCTCCTCCGGAGTCCGATCCGCGAGGCTAGCTTCAGTCCCACGGGTCCCGTCCGCTGCATAGGCCGACATTATGCCCTGGTGCTAGTTGCATCGTGTTGCAGATTTTCGTTCCCATTGCGGCTGCTTCGCAATTTCGGGTTGCATGTCCCACCCGTGTTGCCGAGTCCTGCAAAGGCTTTCTCTCCCCTGGTAGATGACGGTGTACCATACCTTAACGTAGGGCCTACAATGGATAATATTGCTAATTGCTTCAATGCTCAGTGGCTAAGAGCACAGCGGCATCCAGCGGCAGCCTAATCTCGCCATACTTGGATGCCACTCTTGGGGCCAACATGATGATATGAAGTGAGAAACGAGACGAAGTCACCCACGGGTGGAGAACAAGGTGCTGCCCTATGCCAGGGTTAGTTTCCCGCTTCTGTCCGTTGCCAAGTCCACCACACCTGAGGCGCTATAGCGAAAAACAATGGCTCAAATAACAAAGCTTCAGCAGACTGCGACACAACAGGGTTGGCAAGCCGAGTGCAACGAAGAGAGTTTGATTGCTGCACATGTTACGCGGCGACTGCGGAAGCTTTCTGAAGGACATGCAGGTCTTTGCAGAGCAAACTGGCTGGGAAGGAGCTCGTTGGGCTTTCACTTGAAGTCAATATCGAGATTCTCAATCCTTGCGAGCAGGAACAGATTCGGAGTGGAGGGAGGAATTCAAAGTTCTCTGCTCCGAGCTAGGCGTGGAAAACCTGGGCTGCTTTCATCAGCCGATACTTTCTATAGAGCCCTGGGCCCTTGGCCTTTTGCCAGGCGTTGAGGATGTGGACTTGAAGTCCTTTGCACTGCTCGTGGAGGACCGAAGCCAGAGAGGCGCTTCTGTCTCGTCCCAGCTCCAAACATTGAGTTTTTTCTACGTCGCACAGGCTGCTTCTGTAGCAACGAGGACTCTGGAATGTGGTGCTCTGATACTCGCCGAATGTTGTTCCGATTCCTGACACCGTGCCTTGAGAGATGTGAGGAGCTTGAGAAGTTGGGCGGGTGCGCGGCTCAATGCAATCTGTGTGCCACCTTGAAGCAGGTGACATGTTAGCATGATTTCTTTGCAGGCTTGCCAAGCCTTCGCTGGGTGAGCAGGCGGCGTCCTGCTTAGTCAGGGCTGGGTGCTTTGGCTTGCAGCTCCTGCCTAGCCACTTGATTCTGGTAGTCTGAGGTATCGGCAAGCCAGCCAACACCTTCGCTTCAGGCATCGGGCTCTTCCGGGTCCTGCGGTCCCTCAAAGCGAAGAAGTGAGCCTTTCAGGCACCATCTTCGGTCTTACTCCGGCAGCAGTACCGGATGCACCCCAGCATGACTGCCTGCGATTTGCCATGGCTATAGGACTTTCCGAAAATTAGGGTACCTTATTTTGGGGTCCTTATAATAGGGAACCTATTATTTAGGGTACTATATGAGGGTCCCCTATTTTTGGTGTGTCAGTGTAAGTATGCCGCAGAGTACAGCCTCGCGCTTGCCGCAGGAACAGCTTTCCCTCGAAGCAGTTCTACGGGGGGAAGGCGGGTCTTTCGCGGGAGTGGTGCAGGATTCTGCTAGCTCATGAGGGTGACGAGACTGTTGCACTTTGGTCTGCTCTAGCACTTTGGCCTCCTCTAGCACTGTTTAGCACCCCCAGATGTCGCAGTTCACTTAGCGGGATCGAGGGCGAGGCGACGGCTGTGCAAGTGTCCCAGGTGTTCAGCGACAAATCGACGCAAGACCGTCCGGCTGGAATGCTCGTCCAAGACCCAGCTGTCCTTCTTGGCTCCGCAGCCTTGCAACAGTGGCGATCCGTCTAAGTTCAAAGGAAGGTCCCCGTCTGGTTCTGATGCCTGGTGACGTAGCACCAAACCCTGGCAAGGCCCACGGATACACTGGGTCACCCTCTCCAGTGCTGTTCTGGACGTCGCCTCCCACATTCCAGGAGGAGGCTGTCTGGCACGATCTGTGCAGCTCCGTGCATGGGATCCACGGGCAGAAATGCAATTCAGTTGCTGGTTGAGCCCAGCAGGTGCACGAGGTCGCCACGAAGGACTCGTCCACACGATCCAAGGCTGATTGGCAGCGCAGCATCGGAGTCTCGCACTTAAAGTCTCTCGAAGGCGAATGTACGGGAGGCCGAGCGATGTGCAAGGCCGGTTGCAGGTGTGATCTAGGTGAACAGGCGCATGTATGCGCATGTGATGATCACGGGGTAGGCTGGCAGCTGAAATCGCCGCCCGGGCTGGCTCCAAGAGTGTCGCCGTCCTTTCCTGGTACAACGCCCAGGCGAGTTTCTGGCAGCAGCTATCTTCTTGGCAAGTGGTGATTTTCAGAAACATTGTCACAGGTGGTGGAGCTGAAAAGCGAGCTTCGCCGCCTTGGAACAAAAGGTGTCCACGTTGGCTCCGTGGTTACGGCGCAGGGCTCCGAGTCCCGCGGCTCGAAAAGTTCCCACAGTATGCGTGGCACGCACCTCTTTGGGAATGCCAGGTGGGACTATGTCCTCCTGTCCACCGTGCTTTCCAACGGCAGCGGCTTGACGGAGGCCGTCCGCCGATCTCCCCGCCCCCCGCTGGTGTGGCGACTCGCTGTTTTGGCGCAGGCCGGGCAGAGGTTGGGTTGCCTTGCGGACAAGTCCAGACCTGAGAGCTCCACCAGCTTGCAAAGAGTCAAAGAGCGGCTCCGTGCTGCCCTCTTGACAAGGCACTTGCTCAACGTTGCTGTAAGCCGCGGCAGAGTAGGCCCGGTGAGAGTCAAGATGAGTGTATGTCTGTGCGACTTGTGCAGAGCAAGCGTGTTGCCGCCTCTGTCGACGGAACGGAAACACCCGCTCTCTTTTTGGGCTCTTGCAGGCCTGGTCGTGCTCGGAAGTCCTGAGGCACAGCAAGACGCCGACGTCAGAATCGCAGGGTGTTTGATGTGAGACGTGACGCGTAGCCGCGTAGCCTTTACGGTAGGTGTTGCGACTGGACCGTCACTGGGCCGCCTTCCTGGAGCACTGCAAGGGCCTGGGCGGTATTCTTCAGGACCTGGGAGGTCTTTCTCAGGTGCTACAGCGCAAAGCACTCCGATTTGCCACATACTATGTTGAAGAACTAGAATAACTAGAAAAGGCAATCGCAGACTGAAAGCCTAGAGCAATTAGCACACGCTACTACACCCCATGCTCTGGTGCCGCAAAGACAGAGCTTCCCTAAATCCTAAACCCTAAACCCTAAACCCTAAACCTAATACCCTAGACCTAATACCCTAAACCCTAAACCCTAAACCGAATACCCTAAACCCTAAACCCTAAACCTAATACCCTAAACCCTAAACCCTAAACCCTAAACCCTAAACCCTAAACCCTAAACCCTAAACCCTAAACCCTAAACCCTAAACCCTAATACCCTAAACCCTAAGAGCTTGCGAGGACGGTGACTCTCCCGGTTTCTCCGGCACCAGCAGCCCTGGGCCAGGCCAGGGCCTTCCGGTTTAGGGTTTAGGGTTTAGGGTTTAGGGTTTAGGGTTTAGGGTTTAGGGCCTTCCGCCGTGCAGAGAGCCCCAAACCCTATGAATTAAGGGTTTAGGGTTTAGGGTTTAGGGTTATACTTTT